AAGCTTTTGAAGTCGCCGCCTGCTGGTCGCCGCAGCCCCATGGAACTTCTGGACTTGTCAATCTTGTTTTCTCTCTTTAAACGGGTTTGATAAACCGTCAAACTGGCTTGATAAAACGGAGATGGTCTTAACTGAGGCCGCTGCTTCACGCACACGGCTATTACAATTAAGCCTGAATTCGAAACTATATCCAAGCAACGTGCAATAGAGCATGCTCACACAAAAGGTCTGATTCGATTCATGCAGAGTCTTTCTCAAGCGGAAGAAAGGCTCAGTTGGTAACCTGAACTTTCATGGGCAATGAATGAATGGCGTTCGGTATTGAATTAAAACTTTGTCCCAAAACCGAAAATTCAACTGATGAACATGATATAATAAAAACTACGAGTGCCCAATTCCTTGTCATTATGCCGCGTTCTTTTTCTTTCGGTTACTGAATCGTGGCTAATCTGGGATCAGCCGTTTCGTCTTACCTTTAATTTTCACGTTCTAATTATCGCTATTCAGAAGTATGAGCTGAAGTATAGGAGTATATTTACAAATTAAATATTCCAGAGTTTTATTTAATTGAAAACAAAACACGATGAAGTAAGTCTAGTAATTTTGCCATGAAGCACGGAGTTAAGAAAATGATTATTAATAATGTTTTTCTTGTTTAAACATGTAATACATGAGAAGTTTGTACTTGTTTTCAGATACTGGCAGAATGCACAACATGACAGTTTCTTTCCAGAAAGGAAGCCTGCTTAGTCGACATGTCAAGTGTTATACAAGTAAAGAGAAGTTACAAGAACTTGAGGACAAAATTCAAGATGTCAATCGAACATTAGACGTCTTAAAGAATGAAATCGTAGGGGACAGAAGATTTACACACAAGAACCAAAATTGCAACGTGGGCATCTAAATTTTGCAAGATGACGTTTTTTTTTTCTTTGCTACGTAAGACCATACCTTCAGGGGTGTGCTTTCTTGTGCAAATTAGAAGTAAGCCTTGCTGAGATGACCAAATTTAAATATAACTGAAAGGAAAAACTAAATGGGTTCTGGTCGTAGTATCGTGCAAATGGCCTATTTTGTTGGATATTTGCCTAAAGATCATGGAAGTGCAAGGTGTGCAGGTCGGGGAAGCATGCTCTTTTGTGGACAGGACTGTCTCAATCTTCATCGAGTTTAGCACACCTTTCTCTAAGACTGGACATAAAACTAAAAACAGTAATCCAAGGAAACGTATACATTTCCCTTACTGTAAAACAGTTCAGTGTCATAGATAACGTATTTTCTCAATTAAACCCCGTCGGCATTTGTCTAAACTTGCCCTGCCAAACCCGAAATTTGTTGGAATCAGCAGTTTATGTCTGCTCGTTAGTGTTGCAAGAAATGGTTTTTCTTCTCCCGTTTTCTTAGCAGTTGTGTATTTTGCCTTTTAACTTTAATTTTATTATGCGCAAATGTCCGAGGGACTTATTTTCAGCTTCCTGGTTTATACCCAACGTTTCCTCGGGGCACAGCGTTAAGTCGCGAAAATTAGGTTACGCTGCCTTGTCTGTAGGCGCTACGTTTAGTAAATGGTCGCGCTTTCGTATCTAAATTCGTCGACTTGAAATTTGTCCTTGTTTGTGTCTCTAAGCTACCCCAGCCATAGTTCTGATTAACCTTTCAAGCCCTGAGAAATCGGCATCAAATTTCCCTTGTAATGATCGGGTTTAAATCAGTTCATTAATAAAAGCCAGCATTTCAGAGCGTTCCGTGTGCAAAGAGATTGAAGGAAACTGAATGTTAGCATTGTTTGGGAAACCTGATAAATCATTAAACCATTCAAGGCTTTTGAATAACGAAGCAATATCACGATGAAAAAAACCATAAAACTGTTCAGTAGTTGGCGCCAATTTTAAATGAAAATTGTTTGAAAAGAGCAACTTTTCATGTATTTCCATAATAATAATAATAATAATAATGATAATAATAATTTAATAACTTGTATAGCTCTATTTACATATGCTGATCAATTGTACTTTACAAAATAAAAAATGTATTTAAAAACACCATTAAATAGAAAATTATGTTTTAAAATGCAGCTCTAAAAAAACATCTTGAGGCTTGTTTTAAGCACAAAGTGTTCCATAGAGCCGGTGCGGCAAAAGTAAAAGACTTGTTACCAGTGCTGGGCGCATTAACTCCCGTGGAGCTTCTAATCATAGGTTATTGTTCGAGTGTAATGTGTATGAGCTCTTGTGCTTAACCTAGTGTATCAAATATCAGCATAAGATAGGATGGCGCCAGTCCATACATTGATTTGAAAGTAAGAATTAGAATCTAAAACTCGAGCTTGGGCTGCAAGGCGGGCGCGTCAGTTACAAAATAATTCTGTTCCGTTCGGTCACCTCCGCCGATATCCGGGTACCTTTAATTGTTTATGCACCCAGTCAGTAACTCAGAAGGCGTTGCGTGTTTCAACAAAGCATTTTTTCCCATTTCAGCGCAGTATATGCTGATCGCGATTGCCTCTTCATTTCTATATTTCCTTCTGCTTAATGCAGCAAACGCCTTTACAGAAGTCGAAAATTCGGATAAAGGTAAAGAAGACTCGGACGATAATTTACACTTCGAGAATTTCACACACAAGTTCAATAGCCTGCGAAGCTGGCGATTTCAGTTTGGCGAGAGGGCAAATGAGCAGTGAAGAGAAAAAGCAAAGCGTTTATTAAGGAGTAAGGAAAGTCACTCACTAGTGTAGACTTTGGTGACTTTGCTTTCTAAAGCTTAAGCTTACAGTTGTTCTCAAATGGTCCAGAGTTTTCGCTTTTGTTAAATTCTGTATCTTGCTAAGAGCTAAGCTTTTAGTAGGATTAAATTTGTGCATGACCTTGTTATGCTAATCTCGCAAGTTCTGGGTATTCTCCCCTTCAGTAAACATGACTGATTAGACGGTTTCGTCAAAACTTTGAAAGTTAACAGCTCGCTTTAAGTTTATCACCTGTATACATGTACATATTTTTTGATCAGTGAAGGTATAAACTAAAGCCATAGAAGTTAGGAACTTAAAAAAAAATCCTATATAGATCGATTTAACTCGAAAATTCGCATAACATAAGCTTGACTTAAACATGTACAAGACACAGTGTACTTTACTGAAGGTGTTTTCAATAAGTACACTGTAAATGTGACGGAGAAGCACAGTATCATATGAACCTTCCCTCTCCACGTGATTTTTTCACATTTTCCCCAAACAGAGAGCCTGTTCACAGGCTAATGAATGAACCATAGGGTTTCAATTAATGCATACAGTAAACCCTTGCGTATAAGAACCTGGATTTTTTAATTTAGCCTTAACAGGTTCTCATATAAATGGTACTTAAAGCAAATTTAGACTACCAAGGTTCTTAAAATAGGTTCTTATATTTTCATATGAATTTCATCTAAGTATTATAAATATCATCTCATAATACAATATAAATCATTTATACCATAAGGCCTAAAGGCACTGTACAGTGCAGGTATGTCCTTAACAAAACATAACAAACAAACTCATAGTCAGTTCTCTGAAATGCCATTTCAAGGTTGATACACTTTTACAGCAACTCCACTGATAAGAACCTAACTTAAAATTTTAGCTTTAATAGGTTCTTAAGTGGATGGGGCTTAAAATGAAAATTTTAGCCTAACAGGTTCTTAAAACCCAGTTTCTTATACACACGGTTTTACTGTAGTTAATTAAAGTGGAATGGTTATTTGGGAAACCCTTTGTCAAATGTTTTTGTCAACTTTTTTGGACCTGACCGTGCGCAACGTTCAATAGCCTGAATAGCATTGCAATCACTTTGAACTCACTGATCAATAGAAACATTGCATTAATTTATTCAGTCACAATTTGTGAACAAAAACAAAGGATTGTGCACGGTCGAAGAGCATCCAACATAAACTACAGCACCGTTGTTCTCAATTTTTATGTTTGTCGGCTTTCCTAACCAGTCTCCTCCTCTAACTATGGTTACTGTAAAGGTTAATCATTGTGCATCGAGATAAATCGCTTGAACACAGAACAATTTAAGTTGGTGTAATCAGCACTATGACCCAGATTTAATTAAACAAGGTCACGAGCTATTGAATTTCAAGGTGCGCCAAACTTTATCGGGATATAAATAGTAGTTATATGTCAAATAGCTTTCCTAGAATCTCACGGTGGATGATCGAGCTTCTTTAAAATAGGGTACTAGATTTTTCGAGAATAAATCACTCCTTCCAAGAGTACTTGAGAAATATCAAAAAACTTTGAAGAAAGCAGAAACTGGACAGATACTCTTTGGTACCATATGTGACAGTTAAGCTTAACCTGAGGTCTGCGAAAACCGAGCAGCGAGAAGTGAGGGCTATTTTCACTAGCTTTCTTGGGGCTATGCTGTTTTTCGTACAGCAAATTAAAAGCCTTGAAATTCAAAAGTGTTCGATAGCAACCGAAAAGGTTCCCTGCAGAGGAATTGACAATTTTTTTATGCAGAATTTTGCTTATATACGTCAAATGCAAATTAAACCGTAAACAATCAATTGATGTACAATAGAGCATGGGGTTGAAACAAAGGCGGCCTTTCCCTGTTTCCCAGAATAATCTTGACTTTCCAAGAATAGACCTATTCGGCTAACTCAATGTTGTACCCAATTCAAGCCCTTTGGGAATAAAACGTTTTGTTTCAGGAATTTCCATATCATTTAAATGTGAATGTTACATTATAATGCAAGTACAATACACAAAAAATCTTATCCCCGGGAGATTTGAATTGGGTACAACATTGAGTTAGCCGAATAGGTCTATCGAGTGGCAGGGAAAACACAATCACGCTTGAGCGATTAAACCAATTGCTATCAATATACGGACAACTTCAGCCAATCAAATAGCATGTGACTCCCATAAGAAGGCCGGAGTCTATGCGTTTTCTAGTGTTCTTTTCATAGTTCCTTCTCAGTCGAGAAGTAAATTTTTGTATTCTTTACAAGAAGGAATAAGCATGACTTCATCAGCGTCGTCCAAAAACGTGGAAGAAGATGTTTTGGAAGAAGAAAGTGATGGAGCTCTCGAAGAAGTGAACAGCCACATCAAATCAGTTTTTGAAATTCTCAAAAGCGAGACAATCAAAGTTCGCAAGGAAATGAAGGCTTTCGATACAATGGCAAAAAAGCTTAAGCACGTTCATTTTTCTAAAACGTTGAAGCTTAATGTTGGCGGCCAGTTATTCTCTACCAGTTTGGAAACTATGAGGAAAGATCCAGGTAAATCAGCTCTATGCATGTCTTGCATGCGTGCATCCATTTTTGAAGTCAATAACATTTTTGAATAACCCCTTCGAAATGTGGTCAATTTTTAGGAATATAGTTTACATTTTCGAAGAGGCTGCTGGAATGTGTCTTTTTTATGTGTGTTTCCTCTGCGAAAAGCACAGGCGGTGTGTTTTCTCAGTTCGCCTAAAGAACCGAAACTAGACACGATATGTTAGTTACCGCAAAATTTTGATTTTCTTTGTTAGGTTCGATGTTGCACGCCATGTTCTCAGGCCGATTTGATTCAAAGCCCGCTGAAGACGGTTCGTACTTCATTGATCGTGATGGAACTCACTTCCGGTATATCTTGAACTACCTTCGAACAGGACAGCTCGTTGTTCCAGAAGACAAGATAGTTCGCAGGGAGTTGTTAACTGAAGCTGAGTTCTATCAAGTCCAAGGAATTATCGATGAGCTTAAGGCCTATCCCTTTCAAGATTCGAGCATTTTGTCCACGGAACAGCGTCAAACCCTGACTAAATGGTTGAAAAAAAAGCTGACAAGTGCCAGTTGCACTTATAAGCTGATATATCGCGGTTCACGTGATGGTTGGGGAGCCTCTAACTTTCATTCTCGCTGTGATCGCAAAGGACCAACGGTGACTGTTGTCAGAAGTTCGAATGGTTACATATTCGGAGGCTACATAGAACAACATTGGGAAGGTAAGTTTCATGAGGTGGTAAGGGAAATCATTGCTTTGGATGACTTGGCTTCAAGGCTTCTAAAAATCATATAATGTCTACCTCAACCCTGCTCAGACCCGATTTTTGTTTTGTTTTGTTTTTTTTCTTTTTTGCTTCCCTTGACCGAGGTTGGGTTATGATATGGTTTAAAATAAGTAATTTGACGTCATTTTGACGTTACCGGTATAATATTGAATTTACTGACTGTACCCAATTCATCATTTTCCCCGAACTCCCCTCCCCCCACTCCCTCCCTTCATAAAGCATTTGTAAAGCGAGTAACGGGTCCGATAAAATCTTAAGGTTGGCCATCAGATTGATAATCTTGAACAGTAACGTCATGACTACATTACTTTTAATTCTAGTTTCAATGCTTTTATTAATTCGCTTAGTCAACCAAAGGGTGACTCTGTGTTGAAGAAGCATCTCTAAAGCCGGGGGGAGTACTCCTGGGAATTCTTGGCGGGGATGTGCCACCCAGTTCTCCAAGTCCTGACCCTATTTCAGACCAAACAATGTCATTTTCAACACCCGTTTTCAGACCAGGGGCCGGATGCTCGAAGCCTGGTTAGCGCTAACCGTTGGTTAAGAGGAATCAAAATGTATAGGTTTCCATGGTATTTAACGCTGGTTAGCCCTAACCACGCTTCGAGCAAACAGACCGCTAAACTCCACACCAGTTTTCAGACCTGGCCTTTTGGGCAGAAATTATGTCATCTTAGCTTAGATTAGAGCGCAAACAAAAAAATTCTTCAAATGCCTCTCGAATTCGCATATTTGTATTTCGTTCTTATTTATTTAGAATTGAAAGGATAACAACGTTCGTAAACTCCAGTAGTTCCCTTGAAAACCATACCCGATTCTAGACCAAAATGGGCAAAGTCTACACCTGCGTTTTCAGACCAAGAAGGTCCAAAAACCCTACCCTTTGGGCGGCACGTACCGATATGGCTTATATAAGGGAGTACTCCCCTCGCCCTAAGGCCACCTATTGTGACTACACTCTCTCTTCTTTAAATAGCAACCTCGTCTGGTATTCACAAGAAAGACCCAAACTCCTTCCTGTTCAGCCTTGTCAATCCAAATGGCTTAAAGCCCACCAAGATGGCTCTGATACCAGGGAAAGAGGAATATGCCATTTACTGTAGTAGTGGCAACTATCCGATTTTTGGCAGCTGCAACAGTGGGTACTATGACCTTTCACTTGGCAGTTCACCCACTTCGTCGAATAATTGTTCGTCACATCTTAACAACTCGTACCGCTGCCCAGAAGGTCAGAGCTATCAAACTTTTCTTGCTGGTAATTATGCTTTTTATGTAAGCGAAATCGAAGTTTTTGCCTTTGAGAAGTAGATTAGTGAGAGAACTGATCTGTAAAGTAATTTGACATGATAAGTTCAGTTGTGATATGCCTTTAAACTATTCTTCCAATAAAATGTAGTTATAGAAAAATGTATGCATTTAAACGAGAATAAAGCTTGCTTAAAAACGGAAGATTCAACGTCGTTATTTTAAGGCGCTTTACAGGACAACTATGTTTACTAAATCAAGCGGCTGACCACAAAGTTCTTAAAACATGGCTATAGAATAGTCATTATTTATAGAATTAGATTTTTTTTTTAGCGTTTGGTCTGTTGATGAGACAGCTCCAAAAAAACAGTTAGGGGCTAGCTACAGGGACTGATGGAGTGATCAGTTTTAAATTAAATTGAAAACGTTTAACTGGATACCCTTAGTAAAACGATCTAAAACGATTATTTCTTTTATATTGATTTCCTCTTTCAGCTTGTCAGCACGATAAAAGCGTCCAATTTATGGTTTCTGTGGAAGTGTTATATACCTACGTATAATGTACCTGACGTAGCCAAGAAATTTAGTTTTGGGGAGACTGGGGCTAACAGCTTTTTTTAACTTACACAAATTCAAAGCTTGGGCTGCCTGAAAAATTAAACCCCATCCCCTTCATTCCGCGTCTACATTTAGCAGTGACACTTAAAACTTCAAACTTTTTTCCAGCGCTTTACCCTTAGAAAATGGGAAGCGAAAGGGTAGGTTGACCGCTTAAAATCCCTCTGCCTGCCTCTCGCCTTCACATTACTAAAAAAGGCCGAAGACGAAGACGGAGACAAAGTTAGATGTTGTTTAACAAAACCACATATAAGTCAGTGAGTCGAGTATTATCGTATTGGCTCAATACTGTCTGAAAAATGTTACTTTACTGTGTGCATAGTCATGTAGGGATACTTACTGATGACCAGGGGAAAAAACACTTCGTCACTCCGTCGCGGTGGTCCAGTGATACGTCGTTCAACAAGCACAAAGAAAGGAACAAGCACTATCATGATCTTCCAAGAAAGGATTGCAAACTGATTTAAGGAAATGGTATATTTTCTATTCAAGTTTATTAAATGTAGCTTTCATTAGCAATATTTGATTCAAAGCTCTAAGTCGATACATTGCAGTAAATATGGCCTGATTTACGCACGTTTTCACTTGTTTATTGAGACTGGCAACAGTTACGTCCTTAAACGTTTCTCGGAAGGTGTAAAATAACATCCACTGGTCATTTAAGTCCTTGATTCAGTGAATTTATTATATGGCTACAATAGGATGCGCGCTCTAATTGGCTGCTATTACTAGCTAGGTGTCTAGGGCAATCAATCAAAAAGGCTATCCGCTGACCAGTGTCACATGACTGTATCACGGCCTGGGGGCTAAACAGGCCATATAATAAATAACTTATTGACCTCGCCCGTTCCTTCATTATAGGGAAATCTCAGACCTCAGCCTTGATCTGTTGACCTCGCTATCGCTTGTACATTACAACTCCGTGTACTGAGAAAGTTTCACGTTGTAGCCCTATCACATCAACGGCCGGGCAAAGAAATGAACAAAAAACTGTGCTGCACAGGCAAAGTTATTTTTTGGCCAATAAGAAATATTGTTTTTGTCAGGGTTTGTTTCTTTTTTCGCAAATTTGTTTGGTTGATTTTTTATAATGGCCGTCACTCGTTAGCATTGCACGATTTTTGTGTGTGTGTGTGTGTAGTAGATTATAAGTATAGTAACGCCCAGAGCTTCGCTTTTAGCCCTGGCTAAATCTATGTATTACATTTGTGAAATTTGGACTAAAACAATAATATACTAATAAGTACATTTGGACATAAACTGTCTGCTAAAGCCTTCTGGACCGTATCTGAATACCTCAGTGAAACACTGGCTTACTTTTCAGAAAAAACCTACTTTTTAAGGAATGGACGTTAATATTTATTCCGTTAATTCGCCTAAATTACTTTCCGGGAATCAAAACTGCTGCTCAATGCAAAGAAAAATGAAAATCGCACATTGTTGATTAACCAATAGCCGCACAAAAGGTGAAAGACTCCAACCAATAAAAACAGAAAGAGCGGTATACGTAGTATAAAGTTTCTTGTACGAGGGTACTTTCGCTTTCCAGTGCATGTGTTGTTCCGGTTTCGCAGTCGATTATTGAAAGCCAGCTATATCTAAAGAGTCTGTTTCTGTGTTGCAAGAGGAACAGAATGTCGTCTTCATCTCGAGACCCTGAGGAAGAAACAGCTTCGAGCAGTGAAGCGGTTGATGAAGTAAACAGACACATCAAGAAAGTGTTTGAGATTCTTGAGAGTGAAAAAGTGAAGCTTAGCAAGGAAATGGAAGCTTTTGATGCGGTGGCCAAGAAGCTGAAAAGCGTTCATTTCTCCAAAATGCTGAAACTGAATGTCGGTGGTAAAGTATTTGATACCAGTTTGGAAACTATGAAGAGTGACCCAGGTATGTATTTAATTCTTAATTACTTCACTGAAAGATTTACCATAAAACTCCGAGGTGCAATTGACTGCAAGGCGTCTGATTTCAATTGTGTTCAGTGTAAAATATAGATTTTCGCTTTGATTCCCTAACCGAACTGTTTGTTCGTTTATACTCGATAACAGGTTCAATGTTGTACGCCATGTTTTCCGGACGATTTGACTCCAAACCCGCTGAAGACGGATGTTACTTCATCGATCGCGATGGAACTCACTTCCGTCTTATCCTGAACTACCTTCGCTCGGGGCAGCTTGTTCTTCCCGAAGATAAGATTCTTCGAAGAGAGTTGTTAACTGAAGCTGAGTTTTATCAAATTAAAGGGATTATTGATGAAATGAAGGTCTCCCCCTTCGAAAACTCCTCCATCCTGTCAGTGGAGCATCGCCAAATCTTGGCCAGCTGGTTGAAAGGCACCCTGACAAGCGCTTGTCACACCTACTCCCTGATATATCGAGCGTCTCGTGATGGCTGGGCTGCCTCTAACTTTCACTCTTGCTGCGACCGTAAAGGACCAACTGTTACCGTTATTAGGTGTGGGAACTACATATTTGGTGGCTACACAGAGCAATATTGGGAAGGCAAGTTATTTTTGGAAAATATTTTGCTTTTTTTATGAAGTTATTTAGCATTGTCTAAGTACCCATTCAATATCTATACCCAAGTGATTTCTCGGAATAATCATTATCAGTTCTAAGTGGATTTATTGTTATGAGACGCTCTAAAACAAAGGCATTCGGGTTAAACCTTAAGAATTCTCCTTGGTTTACAGGACAACTAGGAAAGCGTTGTGCGTGCCTTGATGCGCGCAATATACAATAACGTTAGTTTTCGTTTCTAACAGAGAGACACGAAAGCGATTCATTCGACCAAAAATATTGACATTTTTAAAATTTGCCTGTTAAAATTCGATACGCATACTGCACCACGAAACACGAAAATTGGAAAATTCCGTGGTTAACTTAAGGCCAGATGGAAGGCGAAGAAAATTCTCGGTCCTCCTTGAAATTTGAAACCAAATAGTTGGTATGTTGGTGTTGAAGGGACCTTTGGATCGCTTTGGATCAAGTTCTTAAAGAGAGTGGGGTAATGATTTCGTAGTTATTCAGGTGTAACAATCCATCTTCATTCTAATTGCTACACCTGTCCACTAGAAGTTATTTCTAAAAGTGTAACTATATCATAAGTACTCTAACTGTGAACAGTAATTTCCTGGAAAATTTCATGTCTAATACAGTTGCATACAACGTTTTCGTCAGCTCTTTCAAGTGGAACGTATAAAAAAGCTCCAGCCTCCTTCCTGTTCAGTCTCGTCAATCCTAATGGCCTTGAACCTTCAATGATGTCTTTGATACAAGGAAAAGAGGGTTCGGCCATCCATTGCTACAGTAGCTATGGCCCTACATTTGGGGATGGTCCAGACCTCAGAATTGTCAACGCCCCAAATTCAAACAGCTGCAGTGCAAATCTCAATAACACATACCAGTTACCGACAGGACAGAATGCCGGCACCTTCTTGACAGGAAATTCGAGTTTTACCTTAAATGAAATGGAGGTCTTTAGGTTTGAAAACATCTACGCTTAGTATAGCTAATGAAATCTCGTTTCCTCTGGTAGTAGTACAGTATTAATTTCTTCTAAAAATTGGCACTATTGCCCTTCAGTAGAAACTTGAGTCAAATAAACAGTCTTTAGTAACAAAACAATTAGTAATATATAGAAAATCAGGTAGTTTAAGGCCTGGGACTAAGGCGTTTACTTGTGGAAAATGAATTATTGGTTATAACTTTGGCACAGATGATGACGCTAAATCAAAATTTGGCACCCAAAAAATACTCATCGTCCTTAACATTTTAAAGTACAAGCATTGTGTCAATAAGTCACGTGATATGTCACGTGACCATTTTGCTAAAAATCGTAAATTATTGACCAGTTGGTGGCCGGTTTAAGAAAAGAAATCAGGGAAAATGTTTTTCTAATTCATATTAAATGTTTCTAACACTTCACCTTTGGAATGACCGCACTTCAATAAAAAAAAGTATGAGGGAAAACATCATTTTAAATGCCCAAATTTAATCTCGAATTATTTGAAACTTTACTATTAAACTTCGCGTACATTCATTCCAAACGTAGAAAGTTCGGTATGATTATCTTCTTTCAGAAATACCAATTTGTTTATCGAAACAAAGTAAATTCGCCAATTTCCTTCATTTCAATTTTTGGTCACGTGACAGATCACGTGATCATAATTAAACGTTAAGGCCTCAAAAAACCTCAAGATTTAGTTTTGGGGAAAAGTTCATTTTGTTCTAGGTCTCCTAGCGAGAGATATTACCAATCATTCATGTGCTCAGAACACATCTTTGACCCAGGTTTTCAACCCCTTGAGAAAGAATATGAACCATAAAATAGAAGAAAAACGTGGAACTTACTCTATGGTGAATGAAAGAGTTACATTATATTAGCTTAGTAAACTAGCATGCAGGAATGTTTTTTCAAGACAAGCTTCCTTGCAATCTTCAATCACTCGCTCACTTTCTAATAACTGGCTTTATCTTTTTGCTAAGAAAATCGGGCAAAACAAGCAGGAGGGTGTTAACAGACTAAAAGTAATAATTCCATTTATATTTTATTGATGAACTAGTTATAATTATAGCGTTTTTACAGGGCCCCTTGCGGAAGCGCAGATTTGATCGTGTCGTTCTTCTCTTCTGGACGCACTTGTTGGGTAGGGAAAGTTGCTCTCCAACCTACCAAAGCACAAGGTCAGGTTGAAAGATTCTTTCTCCTTTCGTAAGTTAAGTGTCAAAGTTGACTATGATCCTTAAAACCGATGACGTCACAAGTGAGACGTGGATCCAACGGGCGGTTATGGGCATTTGAAGATGGGTGCACAACCTTAGTTTCATTGCCTAAGCCCTACAAAGGGTGCCTGCAGCCCATTAACTTCTTCTATATGGTGCCGCCTTATGGATTCTCTACCACAGTATGATCTTATACAATTTAACTTCTGGGATGTTTCAAAAACAAGCTGAAAGATTACTTTCCTTCTTTCGGCTCCCACGGGGCATTTATCGCAGACACCAGTTGATTATTAGGTCATCTTCTTTGCATTTATTTTAGTTGACAATTGTAGCTTAAAGAAATACATTTTTGTAATAGTAAACTGATAATTTTCCGTGATAATTAAATGAATAAATTAATGCCGTGTGGACTACGCCCTTTTCCGTTCGAATATGGTCCGCGGAGGGGGAGGCCAGGTGGACCTTACCCCAACCCACCCCATTTTTGGCAACGTAAAGAAATAATAATTTCTCAAAGTTCTTCACTAAATAAGTTTTTTTTTTTACTTTAGACTAAGGATCTAGTTTTCACTCCCGTCCGCAACAGAGAATAATAGACTCAAAGTAAGGATTGTACGTGAAGATGCAAAATTTATTGTAAATGACGCTGTGGAAGTGTCTTTTTCGTGCTGTAAACTGTCCGTGATTTCATGGATATTTTTTTGCGTGAGAGTGAGTTACCAAAAACATAAAGCTGAGACAATTGAAGTATTTATTACTTGCACCCCATGGTACCGCCGCAGAAAGACTGAGAAATGCCATAAAATTACGGCTAAAATCGCCGCTTAAAGACCGACAAGAGCGCAAAAAGGTCCATGTGACTGGCATTAACGAAGCAATTTTTCTTTGGCCTGAAAACAGAGGCTATTTTTTTTTTTTTTGATCTCGCGTACGAACTATGAGTTGCATCTGCTCGAAGGGTCCTGATGTTTGGATAACAGACCTCGCCTTGAAATAAAATGTAACGGTCCGTGCTGATCCCAGCACTGATGGAATTATTGACTTTTGAAACGCTGAACGTTTTTGAGTTAAGTTGCAGAAAGTACCAGCCGAAGAAGGAGCAAGTATTCTTTCTTTGATTTCTTTGCTTTTTCCTCTTGTATCAGTTTTCGTTCAAGAAGGACGTATACGTAATGGTCAAGTCTTATCTGTATCATGTAGCCCTTAATTTTATCTCGCGGGTTTGTGAATAAAAAGGTTCTTTATGATGTTGTAGATGCTTTAAACGGAAGATCAAGTTTAGCTCGAGACTTGGCGTGATAAAAAGCAGTCGGTATTAAATCGAGTTTTAAGTGCGTTTTATATGATTGATATCCCACAATCTGAAATCAGTACTCAAAATCACAAACTTCAGGCTGTCTAATAAGTCTCGTGGTTTGTGAAGAACCTTTTACACCCACACGATTTGTTTGGAACACCAACATGGCTAGGCCTTTCTAGATTCTGCTCGGTAACTTTTTAACTTGCAACTTTTAGGATTTTGAGCAACTTTTTTGTCAGAAAGCAACTTCTAGCAACTTTTCGGAAAACTAGCACTTTTGGGCTATTTAGAACCAAAATGCTGAAAAACCCCTTTTTTAAAAAAATAAACAAGTTAAAATTCTCTTGGTTAAAATTCTAAACATTTTTGTAGTAAAATTCATATTTTTACCCTTTGAATGGGTGTCATGTGGACGTGGTAATTAATTACAAGAATTGGGTTTGGGTAGCCTCAACCTGGTTCCCAGGGCACCCCCCACGAGAAGGGAAAAGCCCTGGGAACGAGGTTGGGGTAGCCTGTTGACTGTATGTAAACAAAATGGCGGACGCCACGTTGTCTTCCGAAGACGAAGAAATCGAAACCCCTTTGAAACTACAGTTAGCAGGGGAGCTTCGCTCGTGGAGCCTGAAAAGGCTTCGACTTCCCGAAGGCGGAAAGCAATTGTGAACAGTGGTCAATAGAGTGTTTTCACATGACGTCACAGCGGCCATATTGGTGTCCCAAAACAATGAAACGGCGGCCATGTTGGTGTCCCAAACCAATCCTCTGGGAGTTGAACACTTTTCTTATGCAAACGCTTTCTTTTGTTTCAATAAATTTGCATAGATGCTGGCCACGTGAGTGAAAACACTCTATACAAAGCTAGTCGAGAGCATAAGAATCCCAACTCCAAAACGTCTGTTTGGGACAGGATTAAAGAATTTCCTAGACAACATCTCGAGTGTGTTCGTGGACAGGTAAGATGCAATGCTTGCCAAGAGACACTCGCTCGGAGAAAGAGCACTTTTGAGAAACACGTGAAGTCGAAAAAGCACTTGAAGGGAATCTCAAGCATCGCTAAAATTAAGTATTGTTATTAAAATTAGACATGCTGTCTTAAAAATATTCGAGCAACTTTACAAAATTTTTGAGCAACTTTTGAGCAACTTTTTGGCATCTTTCTTAGCAACTTTTTAGCTTTTCCGGAGCAAAATCTGGAAAGGCCTAAACATGGCGGCCACCGCTTCAATGTTTCTGGCGGGTGTGACGTCAGGTGAGAACGCTCTAGATGCTTTACACTTACGTGTTTAGTTAAATGTTTAGTTAACTTTAAAGATACCTGATGATAATTATGAAAAAATGATTTGCATGACCCAAGGGTGGTCTTCGGGTTTCACTTTATCTAGCTTAAGTTGTTTTATCTCGATATTTTTTGACCAACTAGTTGGATTTTACTAAAACTATTATTCCTCTCGCCCTCATGGGCTATTGACTTGAGGAATAATTGTTAAATATCCAATATATAGATTTAGCCAGGGATAAAAGAGAAGCTCTCCATAATATTTATAGTTTGCTCAAACAAAATATAAAATCGTGTAATGCTAAGCGGTGGAAAACGGTGAAAAACAACAATAGGTCTAATTAGCAAAAGAGCAAATTTGCACGTTCAGCACTCTTTTTTTGTACATTTCTTTACCGTTGCTATGTACGACTACAACGTGAAACTTCCACCTTGAAAACATTAAATGAGAGATTATATGGACAGGCGGGCTACCCCACCTAAGCTGGTTACCTCACCTATCTGGGGTACCCCACCTCCATGTAAACATGCCCTTAGTTACACGTTTTATGGAGGAAATGTCGTACGTGTTCTCGTTCACTTTTTTTCACTGCCGCTCATTTTCACCTTGTATTGGTGGCCGCTAGCATTTCTTCTTTTGCCAGCGCCGCCACAAAATTTCCATGTTGTTCTTCAACAGAAAAATGTCTCCTTTGTTTTTTATCTCTCTGCTCTAAATCACTGTTGCCCTTTTTCTCGTTGAGCTTCGCTGGCCTGCCGCCCACTTTCTCTTTTTCTCTGTCTTTGTCTTGCTCTATATTCCAAATTTGTGAACATGACAATTTATCTAAGCTTAATACTTTAGACAACACGGATACAGAAGTAATTTCCGCTATTCGTTTTCGTCTTTGACTCTTTTGTTGTCTCTGCTATACAAGACACCGGTGGCAATGCGAATTCCCGCCAAAATAACCTCCAGTTGCATTTGGGTTGTCATACCTGTTGATTGAGTTATTTTACATTGGTATGCCTGTAGTGCGGACGGACGGTCTCTCGGGCGGGCGGTCGGTGTACGGTCACGTGATTACCAAATTTTATCGGATGGGTAGATTACTTCATTTTCTTACCCATGTTGCTCCCCTGGCGCGCTTCGCGCGCAAGAGCTCCGCTATGAACCATTGCAAAAAATAAACTTGAGCCTGCAATCATTTGAAACTGGTAATTTGTCAGCGGATAACTTCAAAAAATACTCGAGTTCGATGGGTCGACACTTGGGCCCGCGGTACGGTCAGGTGATACTGGTCAGTGGATACCCTGTTTTGACATCTGTCAATTGATCACAACATTGGTGTGCAATTAGTTTTCTCTTGGGCTCCCAAACTAGCTAGAGAGTGTGAGAGTCAACATTGGTTTCCCTGTGGTGCGGACGGACGCTCGGTCGGTGTACGGTCACGTGATTACCCAATTTTCTGGGATGGGTAGATTTCCTTAGCTATGGGGCTCCGCCCTCGCGAAGCGCCGCGCGTGGAGCTCCGCTATTATCGAGTGGAGGGGATGTGGGTCGACTAGCCTTTATCGGGGTAGTTACTAGAAGCGTTAACTTTATAATATGATACGGCTGTCGTTGTTGGATTAACCAAGTGTGAGATCGACATGCCTGGATATTGGCCAAGTTCCTTTTTAGAGTTTTGTGAGACGAAGTCGAGGTCAGTAAAAATGAAAAAAAGAACGAAGTAAATATCCAGCCACAGTTACCGAACAATCCTCGTCAATAAATGATTTATTAAATGGCCTAAAAGAGAACTTTTTCTTTGCGGGACCAACGCGGGTATGATCCCAAGTCGGAAAGATGGACCCATCTTGACCGCTCGTGTAGCCAATCAGAACACAGGATTTGCTTTATCTTGTCCGCTTGCAAATTCAGCCATATAATAACTTCCTTTAATCCTTTCTTGGCAATATGGACTAATTAACCGCAATGAGGCAAGGTACAGGAGAGAATTCAAGTTTTCCTTCTGTCTGGTCATGGAACATTTAGTGTCAAAGTAGCCACCTCACGCAAACTGTGAACTTGCATAATGATCGATTTTATCTTCGTATTGTGTAGGACATTTTTAAACAGTAGATCAGAGGCGCTAATACAAATATGTATCTCCATTTAAACCGGAATTGAGTCATCTCACACACCGTGTACGATGCAATTAAAAGGGAGGGGGATCTCCTTCGCATAAATTCCTCTCTCGAAAACTAATTATAGCCTCTCATTAGATATCAGCACTCCAAATACTGATAGATAATCTGAGATCTGGAATCGCTTGAAAATAGCATGTCGAATTATTAAGTACCAAGTATGTTACTTTCCTTCTTCCATTATCAGAATTGATCTTCAATTTGTGTTCTTTCCTGCTATGACATGCTAAGACACTTGGGCCTCAAAATTGGTGACAAATGGCCGAGTATAACTTTTAACCGTCATCTCCTGGAGAAAAAGGCATTTCATGCATGAGCCGAGTTTTCCCAAATGCATTGCGGTTGACTTTTTAAGCGCCGACAAGTTGCTTTTTAAACTTCTAAATACCACTGGCGCCAGTACTTCGAGATAGGTGCAAAAAAGCCGATAACAAATGTTATACAACACTAAATAACATGAAAAAACTTTACGTTCCTCTGTACCGACCAGTTTAGTTGTCTGAGCGTTTGATGACTAAAAAAGATTCTTAGGTACGTATTGTTTCTACTAAGGTGCTTATTTTTCAAGGGTAATATTTATTTTTATTGAGGTGCAGTGAGGAAAGAAAAAGCCGTGATTTCCTTAGCTAGCTAGTGGAGTCATGTGCGACTTACGCAGACCACACCTAAATATCAACCTGTGAGAATTCCTCCTCCTGAATTCTCTTTTTGTTTTTACCTTCACTAACTATTATTTACAAAACCGGAAAAAACACGAACATTTAGTTCGTCTCATTATTGCATTTAAATGACCTTTTATGCACATAGGCATAATTTCCATAGTTATTTACCACGTATTTTCAAGTACGAAGTTGAGCCAGCGCCAGATGAGGGCCGTAGGGACATCAAACCCGTGTTCAGTGGTATGTCAGTAGTACAAAGTTATCCCCTTCCTTTCCCGTGAGAGACATATGAATGAAAATTCTCAGAACATGAAGAATTCGACAGAATTCTTATAACTATTACGTCTGATCCCTTATGTATAGTCCGAGGTCTGTTATGAGCTTAAAAGACTCTTTGGTGCAAAATTTGGACTTAATACCAGTCATACCAGTCTCATAAAGAGTTTCCCGGCAAAAATGTTTGAGTAAAGATGTTCTGAACATGCCGCCAGTTTTTCACCAACAGTCATTTCATCTGATTTAGCTAAATGAATGCATTTTTTTAATGAAAAAACGTAAAGAGACTATGAACTCTCCTGTCCTTTTGAAATCATTCTGAGATGTAAACGGACTTGTGTTGTCAATTTCGGGAAAAATAAGTAACGATCGTCAATAATTACTCTTGAACGCCTTTTTCCCTTAAATGTTTGTTTTGTTGAAATCGTTGTCTTTCGGTTCTTTTTCATGCAAAAATTGGACGCAATGTTGTAAATTAGAAAAACAAACCTACGATAGCAAGTAATACTTCAAGGACCTGGTAACAAAAGGACGCAAAGTGATTTTCAATCAGGCATGGCGGATCTTTTTAAAGGTGATATAGCAGATGTTATCAATCGGCAATATATGCGTTTATCAGTAGTTATTTCATGTGGAGCTGAAATCAAGCAAGCGTCTTAAAGTTAACTCAAATAGAATGCCGTTTTAGACTCGCCTACTTGGTTTACAGTTTTTTGTTGACTTTCAAGGCTTTCAGCCGAAGACGTAGCTGGTCAGTTTTTTTATACCGAGCGACTTATGGTGATTGACTTTCCAGCGAAATTGGTCAATAACAGTATTTATCCTATTAGTCAAAATAACCGGAAAAATTATTTCAACTCTAATTAACGTCGGCTAGGTAACCTTAAACCTAGTTGACTTTGGTGAATAATAAAAAAGAAATACTCCGTATTTTTACATGCCAGACGTACGGTAGAAGCTTTTGAACAAATGAGGAAAAGCGGAAAGATTTAAGGCAAGCATTTGAGCTCAGTGAGGTTTTGAAGATATTAACAACTTTTCGTACTGACCTCCTACCGCTCATCAGCATTCTGAACTTTTCTCATTATTATAAGTATCACCATTTCTATTATTATTGTTGTTAAATATCATCATCATAACTAACAATCATTTGTTAAGATCCGACTTTACCACATTGTACGTGAAAATCTCATCAAGTTTACAACAATCACTGCCAGCCATGAAATATATCCTTATACCTTAATTAATGAGATCGGTGCCCTTCGACATTACTAATATTTAAAATAGTTGCAGTTCAGAGATTCAAATTTGTTAAATATTCATGTTTTTGACACTAAAAGACAAGTTACGTAAAGAAGAATTGATTTTAATTATCCGAAAAGCACTTGGTTGATGTCATTCTCAGCTTATATACCTATAACTTACATTAGCAAGGCTGTTGAACGCATTTAGTCCATGGAAGCCATAAACAGGTCAATTTCGGGTCTTCAGAAGAGGTGAGTTATTTTAAAATGTTGCCACCCGCCTCAGAGGGAATTTTATGAGTGAGAAAAACTGTCAAGTGACCGTAAATTCGTTTTTTTTTTTTTCTTTATTAGCAAATGAAATCACTAATTTCAACGGCAGCGATTGAAAAACAAAACAGCAGTTGGCAGAAAAAAGACAAAAAAAACTTATTCGGCGAGAATATAGC